CTTAAATAGCCCTGGAAGACTTACAAGTGTGGAGAGGGTGGTGTGGGGTGGGGGAGTGGGGGGACAATTCAACAGGGGTTCGGCTGAGGTGTGGGGGAGAGGGGGGGACGTTGTGTCGCTTCCTTCCACCGGGGCCCAGAGTCCCACCCGGGCTGGGGGACAAAACCGAGCCGGTGTAAACCGTAAAGAGGATTAACCCTGCTGAGTGGGATGGGGAGGGGGGTTCATAGAGACCTGAGTGCAGAATGGAGAAGCTGCAGCGAGATCCCTCTCCCAGAAGGCCAGCTCTGACTGAGTCACATCAAAGTGCCCTGACTCGAAAAAGGGGGGGGGGGTATGGCAGGAGGAGGAGGGGAAGGCAGGTGAATGGGGAAGGGGGGTGCAGGAGAGGGGGGGAGGAATCCCTTATCTCCTCCAGAGAGGATGCTGCTCTGCTGCACAAGATTGTCTGGAGCTGCCACCTGTCCCAGGCATCTTTGAAGGCAACGCTAAGCCTGTGATGGATCTGACCTCCTTCAGCTCCCATTCTTTCATGTCTCTCTTCATTTTCTGCTCTGTTACCCCCCCCCCTCAGCTCTATCCCAGGCTCCTCTCCTCCTGGCTCGTTCCCTCCACCTCTACCTCCGTCTCTCCAGTCCCATCCCAGTCCTACCGACACTCTGGAAGGCCGCATTAGATCCCCCCTTCCCGTCACTGGCTTCTATTGTACATTTAACTCCACCCCCCAGCCAGGAGAGAGTTTGAGGTGTAGAGGGGTGTTTAGGACAATTCTGTTTTAATCATTAGCTATTTTTGGCCAGGAGTATCGTCGATGGGTTCTGAATTTAACTTGTCTCCCTGTACTGGGGTCAAAAAAAAGATCACAACATGGACAGCATCATTTAACAATTCTGTAGGACAATGCTCCTCTATAAATCTAGCGTCTGTGCCAGTACATAAAGAAAACCAGCAGTTTCCACAGTGAGACTCCGCATGAAATTTACATTTCATCTGTTAAACAGACTTCTGTCCAAAGTGACGTACAATTAAGAGACTTGGGTCAGTCCCTGGAGCAATTGGGGCGTTAGGGTACTGTCACAATAATGACATCACTCTGCAGAGCTTGGGCTTGAACCAGCCACCTTCCAATCACAGGCACGGAATCCAATCCTACTAAGCAGCACATGTAACTGACATTGAAAGGTTTGCCATGCAAAAAACACTGAAATGAGCGACTTTTCGGTGACAAGTAACCAGAGTGTTTTGGTGATGAATCGGCGAGCTGCGTTTCCGAAGCCTCTGCATGAGGATCAGGCACACTGAGAGATGGATTGGGATGAGAAGTCCCCAGCCTCTCACACCCCCCCACCAGCGCTGAGGCACGCAGCAGACGGCGGGGAGGGGTGGCGGCCGGTCGTCCCCCCGGCGAGGGAAGCGCATGCAAGACGGCGTTTATTCTCCCTGATGAAAGGAAGCGCGGTGAAGACGTGCTTTTCCACATCGCCTGCGGCAACCCCACAGCAACACTGCCCCGGCAACACTGCCCCAGCAATGCTCAAGGAGGGGCTGGGGACGATTCTCTCCTCACACCTCTCAAGGCAAATCAGTCACACAGACAAGCTCTCATCCTCGAACCCTTGGCACACCTTCCCACCACCTTTGGAGGCCACAGGGGGGGTGAGAGTAAGGGAGAGTGGAGGAATGGAGCCACAGGGGGGGCACTGGTGAAACCTAGCCCCCAAATGATTGCCCCAAAGCGAATCCCCCTAAGATGCTAAGAAGGTTAGCTTATTAGCCTGTTCCCCCCATCAAAATCTTGTCACTGATCATCAGATTTATTCTTGCAGGGACACTAGGGTTTGGGGGATGGGTGCAAGTGGGATCCCTGGTATGCGTCCCATCCGATGCCTTCCAGTGGATATGCCTCTGAGAGCCAGAGTTTGTTAGCCTCATTCGTTAGCGACTCTTCAGAGATCAAGTTTGGTTTAGCAGAGCAGGATTGCTGGGCTCAAAGGTCAGCCTAATAACGGCTGAAATGAAGCCAACTGCCGGGATGAAAGTGACACAGCCCAGCCGAGCAGCTAACTGCTAAAACACTCTGGTGTGCAAACCTCCATGTAGCCCGTTTCGTACAAACACATGCTGGTGAGCAAACCTCCATGTAGCCCATTCATACAAATACACGATGGTGAGCAAACCTCCATGTAGCCCATTCATACAAACACACGATGGTGAGCAAACCTCCATGTAGCCCATTCATACAAACACACGATTGTGAGCAAACCTCCATGTAGTCCATTCATACAAACACACACTGGTGAGCAAACCTCCATGTAGCCCATTCTTACAAACACACGCAGGCAGTTTCTGGAGAGCCGGAATACCACAAATACCGGACCCGCCAAAGTCCAGGTGGAGGTTGCAGACCTTCACCAGAACCCTCACCATGTCCTGAGGGGCAAATTTGAAATTGTAGGAATCGCTTCTCCACATTGCCGGGGCATTGCCACGTTGTCACCAGCATTAAAAGCCATGTTTGGTAATGACATCTCTGACATGTCATTGCTAATATTGCCAGGGGTGGAAGACATTTAGATGGGGACAATGCACCCTCTGGCGCAGCCCCACATATACACTCTTAACAGATCTACCAACATCTACCAATCAGAGCACATCGCTTACAGATTCAGGGACCTAGCGACACATTCACACGTCCGAAGAATCCAGGTCTCAGAAACTCCTTCATCCACTCTGCCGCCTCCTTATCCACTCTGAGCTGTGCGTATTAGCGTCAGCGCTAAGCAGGATATTAACTATTATCCTCTGTTTGCAGAATAAAAGCTCTTAATTCTTAGTCATCGTAACGATTTAGCAAACTCTTATAGAGAAGCTTTTTTCCCCCTTAATGCCTCCTACTCTATGCGTTAGAGTGGGTGTAAAAATCAAGGTAAACAAGGTGTCGCGCCACAAGCTTCGATGTGAAAGGGAACAGAGACGAAATGAGAGATTTGCAAACAGCGGGCCTTGCCAAAAATCCACCACCCTCCCCAGCCCCACCCCATGTATTGCCATGGCGACGCAGCGGCCAGGTGCGGTGGAGGATGCAGGTGCCATGGCGTTTAGCCGCGTTATGCACTGACAACGCAGCGGGGGAAGAGTAATGGGATTTAGGTGGCCTTGCGCCGGGGCCCCCACAGCCTGCTAGCGCAGCACAATGGCGGGCGGCTCCGCTTCCATCACGCCCGCACACCTGGGAGAAATTTAGGAGGTGACTGGGGGGTGGAGGTGCGGGAGCTGGGGGGGTTGCCACGGGGAAGGAGGTGTTTGTGAAGCGAGCGAAGGAGGTCAACATTCTTCACACCTCAAAGGCTCTGGAATCGGATGGCGGGGGCTCTTTTTTCAAAAGCTTCGCTTTTTTCGGGAGGGAAGGCCTCGTGACCTTGCGAGGCTGGGAACTCTGACCCAAATGACCCCCCCCCCCCCCCCCCCCACATCACCCCCCATTCTGTCTTTGTCCGTTTAACGCCTACAACTGAAAACAGACGACGGGCTCCCCTCTGCTCTCACCAGGAATCTCAGCTCATAAACTCCACCTTTGGTGATTCTGTGCCCCAAGGACGGAGCCAAAGTCTCCGAGAAGCTTCCGGAAACTTTCATCCGCTGGGCACATCGCTTCTAGCTCCCTGCGCCTGTGCTGAGCTACCGGAGGCTCTGACTGGGGGGGAAGACAGTCGGAGAGGTACAAGTGCCTCCCAAACAATCCAGCTTTTCCCCGACCTCCCCTAACCCCCCCAACTACAACCCTACTACTCCACACTTATGTAGAAAGCGAGTCTTCGTGATCTTTTTTTATTTCGCTGTTTTTCCTAACCCCTCCATCTCAGAGAGTGAGTTTTTCATTCACCCCCTTAACCTTTCCCTTGGTAACTCCTGGTCACCCCTATGGAGCAGTGCCCCCTCATCACCGTCAGCCACAGGGACATGCGCGATCAGATGTGGCAGACCTGCTGAGCTGGCCCGGCTCCATAATTGCCCATAATGCTCGGCTCACAACCCAAGGCTCTGAAGACACGACCGCTTGCGAGTAACCTTTTCAGAACCGGTGGCCGGCGATGCGGAGCGCTGGCTAACGAGCTAGCTGACGAGCTAGCTAAACATGCCGTGCTGCGGTAAACGGCTTTCATTACCTCCGGCGGATTAAAAAACACTGTCAGGCCCAATTCGCGGCCAACTCAGTGAAACTAAACAAGCCATCACATCCAATCCCTGCCGCCCCCACCCCCATCCTGAGGTGGAAGCATGCCCCCCTCCCCCATAACTCCAGCCCATTGCCTTTTTCATCCTCCCCCTGCCCCATAACTGTTTCTCTCTGTCTTTCCAAGTGTATTATTAATAGTTCGGGTGATTTATCGTGGGGGAGGGGTGTGCTTTTTGTACCCCCCCCCCCCGATGAGATGCCCACACAACTTCACAAGGAATTAGGGAGTGTCGGCCACAAACTCCACCCCTAAATTCCCTGTGTTGGCTTAGGGTGGGAGCCTTAATCAGCTGTTGCCCTGCCGCTTTCATGCCCTTTAAACTTTAACCAGTCCCTGAATGCAGCCCCCATGCCCCCCACCCCTTGGCATCACCTGGCCGCGCAGGATGCTGGGTAAGCGGTGCAAAGACAAATGACGATAAGAGTAATAAAGAGGAAACGCCTCTGTAGCAATGTTCCTGCCGCTGCCACCGGGCCGCCGCAAAGGCACAGCTGCCACGTCCTTGAGTCGCGCGATCCACCTGCGCGCTGCGCACATGCAGCGGTGGCGCCAAGATGGCGGGGGACTAGGGGGCAGAACCTCCCCTGACTCAGAGAGACCTGGCCCCAGTGATGGATGCTGATACCGTAGCAAGACGTCGCTTGAAAGACCTTGGTAACGACTGTCATTAACAATAATGATAATAATGATGATCATTCATTTTGAAAACAGTCCTCCCTCCCAGGCTTCCTGCTGCCTGGCCACCCCAGCCAGGACACTCACGATAATGGGAGTCCAGGTACTGTGGGTCCGCGAAGAAGGCGCCCCGGTAGGGCAGCGCGTGCTCGGGCAGGTGGGGCAGCGAGCTGTGCGTTTCCTTCTTCACCAGCGGGGGGCGCTCTTCGGTGGACGTGGATGGCTCCTCGCCCAGCTTGGCGCCGGCCATGGCGTTGCGGCGCTCCCGGTGGCAGGGGGGGCCCGGACTCTCATCTTCTGCAGATAAAAAGGGAGGAGGGGTCACTTATATTAGCATGTCACATCTGCGCGGCGCATCTGTGCTATATACCAACACTGCACTACTGTTCGACATCATAAACTGGGGAGAACAGCAATGTCAGACACCTGCGTTGCAAATCTGGACCCAAACAGCCGGAAATGATCTGCAGTTGAGTGAACTGATAGCATTATTATACATACAACAGTCAAGTAAACAGATAGCCTAGCATGCAGGGTGCCCCCCCCCCCTGTTTTGTACCCTGCACCTCTGCTCTAGGCTTCCTGTACGACAGATACGACGTGTGATGCCTGTGGCTCAGAAGGAAGCACTGTAGCCTCACACATGCAAAGCCAGTATGATTCCTCAGCTCAGTCTGTGCATGTGGAGTTTGTTTGTTCATATGTCATTTGTATGGGGGGGGGGGGGGTCGGTGCGATCAGAAAGTCACTGGTTCAAAACCCAGAGTTAGTCAGCAGTCTGAGCAAGGCCTTTAACCTCCAGGGCCTATCAGACCCGGCTTTCTCATGTCGCTAAGCCCGTAACTAAGGCAGTTGAGAGTGGTAACTTTACAGAGGGTGCGATACAGTAAAGATGCTGCCCCATTCAGAGCGCACCAGTCACAGAAGCCCAGCGATTAGAGGGTGTCACCACACTAAATGAGCACCTGCCTCTCGTATCTGCAAACGCAGACCCAGGCAACAGAACTAAATTCACCAGTGCCAATTTTAATCCGCCTGACTGGCGTGAACCGCCGGTTAACTGGATTTCCACAACCAATTACCCCCAGATTGTTTATTTCACAAGCAGTCGGGTGGGGGGAGAGAAAAATGCCCTTGAGAAAAGCTGTGTTCAGAAATTTGGGGGGGGGGGGTAAATGTGATCCCGACATTCAGCTCACACCAAGCCGATGCTAACGAGCAGTAGCCAAATGCTAACGTGACCACGGTTGAATGGAGTTCCACTCCCCCATTCAGTAAACCCTCGTGCCAGGCTCCTGCAGGGTGGGCAAGCGAGTTGGGTCACATTGCCATCTTTAATTTGGGGGGTGGGGGAGAATCGTGCTATGGGTTGCCATGCACACCTGCACCCGCAAGCACTGTGAGTAATCTGTAAAATCCAGCAGGGTTTGGACCCCTGTATTAAACTGTGCCAGCTTACGGCCGATCGCTAGAGGGAGGGGCGTGCTTCTCAACATCAGTCGAGAGGAAATTCCCGTGCGCCGGATCTTTCCGCGGGCTTACGGCTGTTAAGTGGCCCCCACGGGTCATATCGATGTCCCCGGTCCACACCCCCCTCTTCTATCATAGAATTATCTCTGCTCAGGTGCTACAGGAGCGGTGCAGATCTCCTGGGGTTTGCCCGCATGCCATGTGTCTGTGTGGATGAAAGCGGAGTAGGATTAGCTGCTGAGCCACGGTGGCAAGGCCGCACCCTAGCCAATGTTAACAGGACTGTAACACCACTGGAGAGATGCTTATACGCCAGATCAGAAGAGCATCTCCCAACGGCCAGAAGACTTTCTTAGGGTCAAGAGTCCAAGTTCATGTATATCTTCTGAGCTGATCCATAGAATGAAAATTGTGTAATTTAGTCAGAAAGGGTTCCAGAATGTCTTTTCATTGACTTTTTATCATATGGGTCAACTGAAACACTGTATTTAACTGTGACAATAAAAATCCATGGCTCTGATACACTAAATGTTGCTTCACTTCACTGTATTGCATTCCAACGGCTACAATAAAACCCACCAATACTATTCAGGAACATTTAATCCTAATATCAAAACTCAACACCTTTAACAAATTATATAATCCACCCATCCATCCATTTCTCCATACAGATAATGTAATAGAGGGTCACAGTATTATTATTTAATATGATCTTTAGATTATGTAATGAAGTCTTGTATTTCTATTTTGGTCCAAAGCCTTTCCTTATAGTATATCTAAGCACCAATATGTCAGAATAAAGAATAGAAAAAGTGAGAAGAAAATAACATGCACAATATAAAGCAAAAAGCTACGCTGTCACATAAAAATCGATCCAAAGGTCTTTTTCAGATACTTGACTATTGTGGAGCCGTTACGTAAGAATCCATAAGAAATCCCTAATTATGGCAAGGCAGCAATCTTCTCAAAGACAGCACAGGGGGTGATATCTAAATGTCATTGACGAAAAGCTGCGTCTCCCTCCGTTAAAAAATGATGGCGTCGGTTACGTTATAAGTATTTAATCCAATACTGCACACCCTGTGATCTTATTAAGGGAATAATAGCACTTATACTGTAAATCTGGATTAATAGGTCTACTCTCACAAACCGCAATATTAACATAAAGGGATTTCACATCGTATTCCTTGCACGGATTTAAGGAAGTCGGCGGCTGTGGCGGCAACTGCAGAGGAAGATAGGCTTTGTAGCTTCAGCAGATCCGACGGGCTCATTCTCCGAGAAGAGGAGACCAGACACGCTCCATCTGCAGAATTCCTCAAGTGCACAAGACCGGGAGCATGACTTTCCATTCAATAGCCCGAGTATGGGTCAAGTTTGTTTATAAAACGAGGGCCATTCTCAAACAATTTGTCTATGTGGACTTCCTTGAATGTTCAAGAACCTTTCTTTAAGCCTTTCTAGCTTCAGAAAATCCCCCTACTCCAGCCCCCCATGTTCCCTAGCTCTCCACCTCTAAGGAGACATCCCTACCCTGGAGTTCTTTTTAAAACAAATAATACATCCCTGAATCCCCCTTTTCCTGTCAAAGGAAGCACTCGGCATTCAGGCCACGAGATCCTGAAAAGCCGTCCCATCTTGTTCCCCCGTCAACAAGCTTTTCTCTTCCTGACGAGAGTCCATTCGGACCGGGGTTAGCACCGAGAGGACCAGCATTACTCCCAGGAAAAGCTCGCTCGCCATGGCAACGGCAGTGGGCTCCGTGGTAAGAAGGTATGCGAGAGGTCCAGCTGGCAGGAGGAGACAGCCAACTGTAGCCAAAGGCCAGGGGAAAGTGGTCACTTCACTGAGCTCAGAGCCTGAGGTACGCAGCAAGCATGGGCGATGGACTCCACACCTTCTGCGTGCCTTGAGGCTCCACCACATGGTCCAGACCAGCAGGCGAAGCATTGGTTTGATTTGGTTTCCATGGCATTTCCTAACCACAACAAAGCAGAAAGCAAGAGGTATGATCTAGGTATTATCTGATCCAAGCAATTGCATGGTACGTCTTTCATTTCCTGAAATCTCTACTGTACTTTTACAAGCTGGCACAAGCTGACCCAAACCTGTTTCATAAGCATTATTTGCGCTGAACTCATGATGACAAGTATATTCTTTTTAATTCCCTTTCTCCTACATTTTTTGGTCCTTTCTCAGGGTTCTTGGTAATGGAATCTGAAGAACCACAGGAGAGAGACAAATTTAAGGCAACATGGAGCCTGAAGTGGTGCCTGCATGTCTCTCCTGGCCATCAGGCAGAAGGTCTGTCTCTTGTTTATTCCTGCCGCCTGGCCTTGCCTTGCCCTTCTTATTTCATGCCCACCCACTCACCACCCCAGAGTAATGGGAAAGCCCTCAGATCTGCAGTCACGCTCTCAGCACTCCCCCGGCAGTCACGTTTTTTGGTTTCTCCCAGGGTCACTGCAATCAGCTCCCCCCAACGTGACACTGACCCCCCCCCCCCATCCACTATTCAGCCCTTGCTTTCCCGCTACAGAAGGCCAAGGCGAGTAATTGTTAACGGGAGCCCCAGTCACCCCATCATACCCCCATCCCGTTACGCCCAGCATCGTACTGAAGGACTTATTTGGTTTCAGTCCAACTTCCAATGGTGCCATAAACTTCAAGAAGAGTAAACAACTGCTCAAATCATCAGGCAAACAAAGACCCCCCCCCACAACTGTTGACTTTAGCAAGTGTCTGTTCTTCTTCTACCACAGGAAGAAGCCACCTCAAAGCCACCGCTTAACCTTTCCGATCTTGTTTGGCTAGTCTTTGTTCTTCTGATTTACTTTTCTCCACCTCCCTCTCCAGACTCTTTCAGTTCCTCTTAATTTCAACTCTTACACGTTGTTGTCTGCACGTCCCCCATGTGTTCTCTGTCCATCGGAGTCTCAAAAGAACAAACAAAAAAACTTTTCCTGTTCCATTGCCTTCTTGCCAATCAAGGCGTTACTCCCCCAGCAGTGGTGAACTGGGGCTGAACTTCTGCTCCGAAGTCAAACAGGCAAAGCAGCAGATGAAAAATTGAACTCAGCAGCATCTTGGCAACTCTAGCTATCAACCTCATGAAGCCTTATGACTTCTCTTTATTCCTTTATTTTTTTTATTCCTCTTTCATTTCAACCTTTTTTCCCATGGTTGCCCGAACCAGTGCTTCACCAGTTTACAGGTCTATTCAGCCCCCACACAAAAGCTTCAGCCTAGACCTTGACCGAACCAAGAGAAACATGCTCCAAAAAAAAACACCCTGGTCTCTCTATGGTGATTGAATTTCTTAACATCTTTTCAAAAAGCAGTTAAATGCCTGGAGGCGAGAGGAAGAAACAGCCTAATGGTGGATTGGGAGAACTGAACAAATTTCAGAGCCCTTTCCTGCTCGCTTTTGAGGTTGAAAGCGAGCTCTTGCCTTTCAAGTTTCAAAGTCCTTCTTCCTCCCGCAGTGTCACAGAAGGATTTGAAAAGAAGGTAATTGTGCTCACTGCCGTCCTGATCAGAGCGCACGTCCCGGCTCTAGTATTTCAGAATCTTTCTCTCGCCGTATAATGGAGCTTGGGTGCTCTTCCCCGGCTCCCCACCCCCGCCCCCCCAAGCCCACACTCATTAAATTCTAATGCCTAGGTTTTTTTGCTTGTTTTTTTTCCCTCTTCCTTGAGGTCCGAGTCTCCATTGTAGAAAACCGTCTGGATTTTTCTTTAAAAAAAAAAAATAGATTGGTACTGAACCACAGACAAAGTTAGTCTGATGAGAAAGACAAAACAGGTAAGCATAAAAACAACAAAAAT